TGGGGAGGGGGCAGCGGAGGAGGGGAAGAAACAAAACCTACTCAGGAATGCGAAGACACCAATTTACGATTTATTTTACTGAAATATCGTTAAATCTCAGCTCAATTAAATCTTAAAAAACGATTGCTGAAAAAAGCGACGTAGCAAAGAGTGTGGCCACAAACTTCTCAATTTTAATGTAACAGTTGTACTTGTTTTCCATTTCGTAGCAACTGCTGCAAGTCTTGATAGAGGCAAAGGAGAACCTCAAAATGAAAATGACTATAACTTTGAGCTTATATTCAGAAAAACTCAAAATACGAGCTATGTGAAACACGATATGAATAACAAGTGGGTTTCACACTTTACCGTCTGTGCCTGGATACACACACCAGATTTACAACAGAGCCAAGAGATGACTGTGATAAGTATTTTGAACGAGAAGAATGGCGGCAGCCACAACGTTGTGAGATTGAGAATCGACGGAGAAGGCAACATCTATTTTTCGTTTGGAAGTGACGAGTAAGGAGTTTTAGTGAGCCACAATTACCAGAGGAGAATCATTCACCCTGTCGTTATTAAGTTATATAGGCGCTGCTTTTTTTTCGTTAAAATAGAACAGACTTTTCCTGTCGATCCTTTCAGCTAGGCATTTTTTATTTCAAGGGCTGACTTTAAGACAAGTATGTCAACACTCAATCTTCCTTTGGTAACAAAGTAAAAAAATTAGATGTTTGTTTAAGTTAAGTAGTACGTGTTTAAAACGAAGAAAAAAATATTGTAAGCTTTGATAAGATTGTTGAAATGTTAGTTAATAATTATTCACTGATACTGACGTAAATAACTGTGCTAGTATATACTACACAGAAACCAAAATATTAGCTTATTTCCGTCAATAAACCAAAAAATGATCGGAAATTAAATTGTGGACGCGCGATTTTGTCTCTTTGGCTGCTTGGGGGTGAATATCTGATCAGTGCGCGCGAAAGGCTCTACTAGCCTATGTGCTATATACTAAAATGAAAAGAGCTACATAAATTCAGTTATATTCAATACTATAGGGGATAAAAAGATTACCTTTAAGTAGATACTTGCGTTTTTTTTTTCTGAAGGACCTCCCTTTCCAACGTATT